AAATAAAAAACAGAAAACAAAATGAATAATATATATTTATTAATAATTTATATTAATTAAAATATAATATAAATAAATAAATAAAACAGGAAATTAAATAAATAATATATATTAATTTAAATTTTCTTTAATTAATAATAAAATAAAAAGTAATCATCACAAAAAAACAAAAAAACAAAAAAACACAAAAATTTATAAAACACAAATGATTGAAACCTACTTAGGGGTGGCATTAGCACATGATAGGGGTGCCATTAGCCACCCCCTAAAAATTGATTAGTATTTGAACTAAGCTCTACACACGTAATAGATATACATTTTTTAATATATTCATCAACGAAACACATATTTTCATGTGAAAAAAAAATCCAAAAAAATCTTCAAAATAGAAAAAACCGAAGAATCATGAAAAAAAATGAAAAATATATCAAAATAGATATTAAATTAAAGATAATAAAATAATCATTTTTTGTTATATTTTGTTTTGCTCCAATTGTTTTCATATTTAGTTGATTTTCCATTGAAAACTATAGATTATTCATATTTGTAATCACATCCGTTGGATTATCTTAATCTAACGCTTATTTCAGAATTCTTTTATCGCTACTTTAGTAACAAGTATACATCAGTAAACATATAAGTCATCTGTTTTTTCATTTTATGCTGTTTTCATAAACCTGACTCTATTGGTTAATGGGCTGTTTGTTAGTTGCTGAATAGTTTGATGCATAATTATTAATTGGTCATAATGATTAAGAGGCTTTTGATAACTCTCATTTTGTTAGAGTTATTTGTTGTTCTTTACCCCTATTTTATTTTATCTTTGGTACCCATTTTGCTCATATTCTATATTTTTGGTCCAAAATATGTTAAGAGGTGATGAAAGGTTAAGAATTTAATTATTRTCTAAAAAACTCTTTATTGTTGGTAAATTTGGCATCTAGTTGGATTTGAACAAAATTATGATATTCATATTATTGGGTATTATTGAGATTTAATGCTAAGTTCAAATCTAATTACTTGGTTGCATGGAAGATTGAACCTAGTTGGGATGATGAGACTTGGATGAGTTCATATTGTACCATGATGTAATGGCTTTTCCATCACATTTATTGGTTGTACCTTCACCCTTTTGMAAYMTTTCAAGAGGAGGTGACTTGATGAAGATTGAAGAAGACATGTGGTGATGGGTGGTCATTACCCATTGGACAAAGTGTTTGGGTCCCACCTTTCCTCCTATATATTTGAGGCATCTCCAATCCATCTAAACATCAACTTTTCCAACACCAACTTTTCCACCAGCACCTTGGAGCATCTTCTTTAAAGCTTTGTAGTAGCAGAATTAGTTTATATTCAGTTTATAATTTAAATTTCGTAATTTAGCTTTTATTCTCGCCACTCCATTGTGTGCCCTCTGTGGGCACCAGTAAGTATTTAATTTCAGTTCAAGTATTTCTTATGCAGCTTTCTTCTTCTATTTCTGTTATGC